CACTGTGACAGCTGAAACAGCGGCGCTGAGATTCCTGGCAATTTTATTGCCCAGGAATCTCCTTGCCTGGCTCACTGTTTCAGTCCCCTTTTAAATCAGATTAATGGGTGATCTGCCTTCCCAGGGCTCCAATTGCCAGCTAAGAGGGCACCCGGACCAGTGTATTTTGTACGGAGAACCGCCGCAAAAGGGCGCCGGCAAAGCAGCCACGTTGGCCAAAACAGCCGCGCCGGCCAAAATAGCCATGCTGGCGACCCGTGGGGCTCCTCCACCTGGGAATCTCCTGGTCTGTGGGCAATAAAAATCCGTCTGGAAATGCGGCATCCACACACCCTCTGCACTTTCACTGGGAGCTGCAATCCTGAGCTGTTCCTAGTTGGCCATCTTGGGTCCTCCTGGGTTCCTTAATCAGAGTGTACAGGGGTTTGGCTATTTCACCATATCTGGGACTCCACAATTGGCAGAAACCAGTTATTCCCCTGTAACTGTTTTAAGGTTTTTGGACAGGGGAAGGCCAGTATGGGTTGGAGACATTCTCCATCAAGGGCCCGAGTGCCCTTAGATAAGACAAGCCCTAGATATTTTACCTCTTGCCTACAAAGTTAGGATTTTGCTTTGGAAACCTTATATCCACAGGTGGCTAGAAAGTTTAGGAGGTCCTGGGTGGCCTGCTGACACTGGGTTTCTGAGTTTGCAGTTAAAAGTAAGTCATCCATATATTGAAGAACCAGGGTACCTGGATATGAAAAATGACTAAGGTCCTGAGTTAGAGCCTGGCCAAACAGGTGGGGGCTATCTCAAAAGCCCTGGGGTAACACTGTCCAGGTGAGCTGAGAATTCTGGTCTAAAGGATCTTTAAAGGCAAACAGAAACTGGGAGTTAGGATGTAATGGAACACAGTAAAACGCATCCTTAAGGTCCAGGACTGTAAACCATTGTGCCTCACCTGGTATTTGCGCAAGCAAGGTATATGGGTTGGGTACAGCTGGGTATAAAGGGAATCACAGCTTCATTCATAAGCCTGAGATCTTTCACTAGCCTCCATTATCCATTAGATTTTTGTACTCCTAAAATTGGGGTGTTATACAGGTGTTATAGGGCTTCACTAGACCCTGAGTTTGAAGTTCCTTACAATATCCTGTAGCCCCTTTTTGGCATCTGGTCTTAGGGGGTAGTGTCTTTGGTAAGGAAAAGAGATGGGATTCTTCAGCCTTTTTTGAATTGGGCATGCATTCTTTGCCCACCCAAATTGTCTCTCCATTGTCCAAACCTCGAGATTATTTCCCTTCTTGAAATAATGGACAGCAGAGAGGGATTTCCTCCCTGACGATGTTCATATAGATAACAGCTCCTGCTCTGGCTAACAGGTCCCGCCCTAGTAAGGGAGTGGGACTTTCTGACGTGATGAGGAAGGCATGGGAGAAGAGTACATCTCCCCAGTTACAGCTTAGGGGCTGGAAGAAATATTGGGAGGCTGCTTGTCCTAGAATTCCTGGGACAGTTACAGACTTGGAGGACAACTGTCCAGGACAGGAAATCAAAACTGAGAAGGCCCCACCAGTGTCCGGGAGATTGACCTCTTGGCCCTCTATGGTCAGCTTTACCCGGGAATCAATGAGGGTGATGGCTTGTGCTGGCACTTGCCCTGGGCACCCTCAGCCCTGCTGTTGGGTCATCTGGTTAGCCACCTCAGGCCCTGGGAACCTTCATCCCCTGGGACAGTGTGCTTTCCAATGATCCCCTTGGCACAGTGGGCAAGGAGGAGGAGGTGGTCCATTCCTCTGGGGACAATCTCTCTTAAAGTTTCCCGGTAGTCTGCAGTAGTAGCAAGCTCTGCCAGACTGGCAGCCAACCCAAGCCTTTCTCTCTTCTGAGCCCCTTGGGTCTGCTTGCCTGAAGGCCATGACTAGGGCTGCGGCTTTTCTCTGGTCCCTCCTGTTCCTTTCAGCCTGTTCCTCCTGGTCTCTATTATAGAAAACTGAGGTTGCTAGATTTAGTAATTATTCTAGATTCTGTTCTGGCCCCAGGGCCATCTTCTGGAGCTTCCTCATAATGTCCACTGCTGATTGTATAATAAAGTTGTCTTTTAGTATTAGTTGACCTTCGATGGAGTCTGGTGACAGGGGAGTATACTTTCTTAAGGCCTCCTGTAACCACTCGAGGAAGGCTGTTGGGTTTTCTTCCTTTCCCTGAGTTACGGTGGAGAACATTGCATAGTTCATGGCCTTTTTCCTAGTTCACCTTAATCCCTCAAGTATGCAGGTTAATAGGTGTCTATGACTCCAGTTCCCCTGTTCTGAGTCAGGATCCCAGTGAGGGACCATGCTAGGAACTGCTTGTCTACCTGTAGGGAATCTATCCTCCTCTGGTGTCATTTGGTCATGTACTTGACTAAGATACCAGATGTCCTCAAACTCTTGAGCCACTGCTAGAGCAGCCTCTCTCATATTGCTGGTTAAGTTCCGACTAAGCAGTAACATGGTATCTTTCCAGTCTAATTCAAAGGACTGACCCAGGCCCTGCAGAACATCTGTGTACTTGTCGAGGTCATCTGAAAATTTTCCTAAGTCCACCTTGATTTGCTTTAAGTCAGAAAGTGAAATGGGGGTATGTACTTTGGTTGGACCAAATTCTCCTTCTACTTCCTATAGGCAGCAAAGCTGGAGCATCCTGGTAGCCTGAGGTGCCTTGGCCGCTTTGGCCTTCCCTGACTCCTTTTGGGTTATGGGAGCTGAGGAGACCTGGTCAGCATCGGTGGAGGGAGGAGTCACAGGGAGTCCTAAATATGGGGGTAGTCCTGAGGAGGGGCCAGTAGGGTATAGGTTACAAGCCTTACATAGCTGAGGATTATCCCTTAGAGAAAAGAAAACTTGCACATAGGGGACCTCAATCCATTTACATTCCCTCCTACAGAAAAGGTTGAATTGTAGAAGGGTGTTATAATTTATACTTCTCTTAGAAGGCCAGGTTTCTCCACTCGGCAGAGGGTATCATGGCTATGCTGTTTGGCAGAAAAAAATGAGCCACTTCTTCCTCAAAGATCGTGGGTCAAATTGGTAATTATCCAGGATACACTTTAAGGGTGATTTTGCCTTGGGAAGAGTAGCACCAATCTGAAGTTGAACACAGGGATGCCCGCATCCCTGGTTATTCCTTGCAACTGCTAGCCCTGGGACATCCCCCAGTTATAGCACCTTGTAGTTTTCTTGTGCCCTAGATGCATGATCATCTTCTGGCCCGCCCCCCCCCCCGCCACCCCTCCGCCATGTGCTGGGTTTTATCACACTTACCGATGTCATGGGCACATGCTCATTGTCTGAATGTCCTTATGGCCACCTTAAGGACATGGGGACTTCTGGAATTAGTGGCCCTGTACTAGCGCATCCTTGAAGAACTAGGCCAGTGAGTCTTGGGCAATGAATGGGTGCCAATATTCCCTAGCAAGAGGTCAATTAACATAGGCCTTACCATAAAACTGCCCTAAGAGGATAAACTTCTTGAGAGGGGCATCTAAACACAACAATCTTAAAGAAGGTAACAGCTGGCCACATGGCTGAGGCCAGAACTATGCCCTTGAGACCCGGGCCTTCCCCCCACCCCACTCTCCATCATAGGAATATGCCCTAGGGTTGTGGGGCCTGTAATTAACTATCTGAGTCTCAGACAAGGTCTGACTATGGTATTCTAGATGGAGAAGTTCTGCCATACAGAGAGCCAATCGTAGGCAAGACACATTATACATCATTGGACTCTGGCACCACGCGGTTGGATTGGGAAATTGTGGGTGACAACCAAAATGTCTTAGAGCCTCCCGTACCCACTGATAGACTCCAGCTCTGTTAGGACATAACCTAGCACTGCGGACTAAGGGAACTGGCCATGTGTACTGTAGGAGGTCCTCATAGGCATAAGCCTGAGGGCACCACGGGCAAGAGTCCCTGGACTGCCTTCCCAAGAGCCTGATATGTAGGAAATATCTTAGAGGAAAGAGCCAGAAACAAGTTTGCATTACAGAAATGTGGACCCAGGAGGTTGGGGCCTGAAAGGCTGGGCATGGCTCACATAGGCGGCTTTTTCTTTTTTTTTTTTTTTTTTTGAGACGGAGTTTCGCTCTTGTTACCCAGGCTGGAGTGCAATGGCGCGATCTCGGCTCACCGCAACCTCCGCCTCCTGGGTTCAGGCAATTCTCCTGCCTCAGCCTCCTGAGTAGCTGGGATTACAGGCATGCGCCACCATGCCCAGCTGATTTTTTGTATTTTTAGTAGAGACGGGGTTTCACCATGTTGACCAGGATGGTCTCGATCTCTTGGCCTCGTGATCCACCCGCCTCAGCCTCCCAAAGTGCTGGCATTACAGGCGTGAGCCACCGCGCCCGGCCATGCGGCTTTTTCTTAAGAGGTTTAAGTGGGCCCCCAACCTCGACCAGACTGAACTGGGCATTTGGGACTGCCCTTCCTCCTGCCGACCCTTGGCTTGGCCTAGAGAAAGAAAAAAAAGCTAGAAAGGGAAGCTGGTCAATGCTCCCAGTTCCTAAGAGCTGGGGTTTGGAGAGTCTGATCCCAGAAAGCCTGAAGCCTGTGTCTTTGGACCAGCAGCTGCTGCCTCAGCCACCCGGACCCAGCCACTGGCTGCACGGGGCCCCATGCAGGCCCAGCCACCTGGTGCTTTCTGCAGGCAACGCCCACCTGGCCTTGCCTCCGCTGTTACTCCTCACTGCCACCCCTGCACCCAGTCTTTATCTCCTTAACAAATTTAAAACAAGAAAAAAGACAGATTAGCAAGCAAAAGGGGTCCATTATCACTCACTGCTCTGGAGTCCAGTGTACTCCTGGCTGGCTTGCCAAAAGATGTAACTGGAGTGGGGGCATCCCAAAGATGCTCCCAGTTCCCCAATCTGAGGTTCTTAGCCTCTACTACCCCAAAGAATGGAGAAAAGGGGCCCTGGAGGCATGGTGAGTTTGCCGTTCAAATAAATATTGTGGACCTCAAGAGTTTTGTGGAGAAGTGATTTATTAGGCAGAGAGAGAGAAACAGACACACAGCTCCCACCCTGCTGTGGGAGGGGATCCAGAGAAGGAATCCATATAGAGAGGGAGCAGCAGGATTTTAACCCTTGAGTTATTCCCTCCCAATTCATGTTCTCATCCAAAGAGAGGAGTTCTTTCAAACTTCCTCTGGAGTGATTGATATTTGACTCTGATACCGGATTGGCTGCTTGGTCCACAACTTGGAGTTAGAGCCCCCTCCTCCCAGAGCTTTAGGTGGGCTTTTTGGACAAAGGAGCCCACCTGGATTTTTCTACCTAGCTCACACATAGGAAACCCAGACAAAGAACTTTATGTTCCTGGATGGAGGGGTGGAGCTGGGAAACTCCTGCCTTTGAAACTCCGCCCCTTGCTGACACGGGAAGAGTCCCTCAGTATGACTCCCCAGACTCCTTAGATAGGAATTTGGGCAAGATAAAAAAATCAGAGTTTAGTCCTCAGAAGGAAGAAAGGATAGGGAGGAAAGGGGGTCAAAGACTACCTACACTGGTTTTCCTTGAGCAAATGCCATAAGGCAAATTTGAACTTTTAGGCCATCTATTCAGGCTGCAAAGAACCCATAGTTTTATGCTTTTTTTTTTTTTTTAAACTCAATATCATCTCTACTTCAATTACCTATTCAAGTGATGGCAGAAAACATAACATTACTAGGTTCCTGGTAAACAAGGACAGCATGTCTTATTAAACACCATCATCCATTTCAGGATCCTCCCCATGTCTCACCCTGCAGGGCTGCTAAGTGCAGGGAGACAATACAGTGTTAGGATGTTGGAGGCAGGGCTGTGCAGCTGTCTGTGTGGCTGTCTGTGTAGAAGGGCCCCCCATCTCCAACCCCAAAGACATGGGTGTCCTCATGAGAACCTTGGTTGAATTGTCCATCTGAAATTTCCCACTGAAATGTCCTTACATGATGATTGAGACATCCAGGCCCACAGGGTCTGCTTCTCAGCTAACTCCCATGCCTATTCCAGAAAGACAGAATTTAGCTTCTCTATGATGTCACCCTGGAGCCACAGGACGCTCAGGCTACCTCAGGCTCTGCCCCAGACACACATAGCCTCTGAGTCCACTGTCCTGCACTGAGCTGGGGTGAAGGGTCTCTGGATCTTCACTGGTCTCCTGGGCTTCCAACCCCAGCACTGAAAAACAAGACACAGGCCTCCTCTGCTGTCATTTCCCCACCCTTATTTTGGGTGTCAACTGCCTTCCTTCTGCCTTCCCTGGGATTCAGCCACAGCATGCAAGAGCCCACACCAGGACCTGACTCTGAGGGGCACTCTGCCTCTTTCCTAGAGGAAGGCTTTCCTCCTTGGTGGGAAGGAGGGGACTAGGTGTATGTTCTTCTAAACTAGACTTATGCCAAAACCTTGAACTTTAGAAGTTAAAAAATATTCTAATTATTTTGTTTCTTTTTGTATTTCTATTGTGGCCTTCCTTTCCTGAGGCACAAAGGCCAACTATGAACTTGGAAAGGTTATGGGAAAAACAAAGGGATTGCAGGGTAAGTCATACAAGGCCAGATTACAAACGTGAAAGGCCCTATGACCTAAGAAAATATGGCATTCTACATCCTGTAATCCAAAATAAAATCCGCATTTAATAAAACAGCATTGACTATAAAATAAATGTAAAAAATTCCAACTGGCCAGGTGCAGTGGCTCGCACCTGCAATCCTAGCACTTTGAGAAACCAAGGCAGGAGGATCACTTGAACTAAGGAGTTCAAGACCAACTTGGGCAACATAGTAAGACCTTTTCTCTATTAAAAAATATATTTAAAAAATATAACTCCAAACCTGATTTTTCAAATCAGTCCTGATTTTTCTGCTTTTTTTGTGTTTGTTTTATATCATATTCCTTCAAAAAAGAATGACCTTCCTCATTCAGCACTGGCACTGAAGACACAATTCAAACCCACCTGTTAAGGGTCAAAGGAACCAAGTTGCAGAGTCCATAGGGTTACTCCTTTATTTTCAATGCCTGACACTCAGTCTGCTGTAAAGTACAGGAGTCACACAAGACCAAGCAGCTCTTTTGCTGAGACAGATCACTGACGCAGCCAGAGGTGATGGTTGGGAAGGCAGAAGGAAGGATGACTGGTTCTTGGAGCCCAGTTTTTGTCTTCCTGGTAACCAGGCTGGATCCAAGAAGCTGCAGCATATGTCAAAAACGTATTTAGCTAGATATTGCTGTGTAATAAACCACTCCAGAACTCCATGGCATGCAGTGCTAAGCATTTATCATGCTCCTAAGCTTACAGATAAGTTGGGCTTTAGTGCATTGGGCTGGGGGAGGCTGGAGTAGGCTCTACTCTACTTTCTGTCGCTCTTCAGAGGCCATGGGCTAACCAGGGCATGTTTTTCCCATGTGGTGGCAGAAGCCAGAGAAGGATGAGCAGAAACATGAGTTTGCGCTCAGGCTCAGAATTGGTACTGAATGACTCCCACCCACCAGGCACTGGATGATAACTGTACCCAGGCCAGCATTAGCAGCTAGCTTAGCCACCAGCACCCTCTGCAGTTGGCTCTCCTGCAGCTGTGCCCCTGGCAGCTATGTCTGATGACCCAGATGGCAACCACTGTAACTGGTGTGGCTGTGGGCTCTGCTGTCGGGCACACATTGAGTCATGCTATCAGAGTGGGATCAGTGGAGGAAGTAATGCTGGGGCCACAAGGCCCAGCATCACTTACTAGGAACCTCAGACTGAGCTGCACAGCAGCGGCAGCCTTGCTTCTGTGAGAGGAGTTTTTGGAGTGTGCCAGAACCAGGGTGACATAAAGCTCTGTGAGGGTGCCAGTGAGGTGCTGAAACAGTGCAGACTTGCAAGTGGATTGGCCTGACCAAGAAGTTCAAACTGGGGAAGTGGAAAATCAGCTCTCACGACCAAGTTAATTTAGTATAAAACTGTAATTGACAATGAAGGTATAAAGTGTAACCACCAGTTAAACTTCTGTCTTTCACAGCTTCCTTGCTTTGCATTGCAGTGGAAGAGGGTGTTCGTACTGTGTAGCATTTCATTAAGATGGTATAGAATTTGGGGCTGGGCAAGTGTTTGTGTGGCCAACACAACTGGCTGTTGTGATTTTGTTCTTTACTTAGAATATTGTCTTCCAAAAAAATAAAGGGGCAAAAAGTTGAATATATCTACTCTTATAGAAAGGAGGTAAAAAAAATTAACAAAAAATACCAAACTAGAGTCAGGAGTTGGAGATTCTAATCCCTGCTCTGTCTGGAATGAGTTCTTCAACCTTGTGCAAATCATTTCTCAGTGGGCCTCAAGGTCATTTGTGAAATGGGATGACGGGGTTAGATGAACTCTATGAGGCTTCTGATTTCACTTTCCTCAAATTCTAGATATAGTCACCCCTTCAGTTGCTGACAGGCAGATTCCATTTCTAGCAGCCAGTACTACCAGTGCTCTCCCAGCTTCCACTGGCTGAGCCCTTTGAAAGGCACATGCTCAGTGCATGCCATTTGCTAGTGTGGACAGGAGCCAAGCCCTGGGACATGCCAAAAACATTCTAAGTTCTTATCCTTGAAGTTCAATAATTTTATAGGATATGCCTAGGAGTATGTCCTTATTTGTAGCTCCCCCTTGGAACTCAGTGGGCCATTTTAATCTGCAGACTCAAGTATTTTTTCAAACCTGAGTTTTATGAATTAATTTTCCTCAATTATTTTTATGATTATTTCCTTTACTCCCATTATTTCTTTTTGTACAAATGCTCATGACTTTATCTGCTAAGCCTCTTATCTACTCCATCAATTCTAGTTTGCATTTTTGTTTCAAATTTTGATATACTTCTTCCTCTTGGTCTTCCAGCCTGTGAGTGACTCTCAATATTACCATGCCTTTATAATTTTTCCATCAAACTTTCAAATTCAGAAATTTTTATATTAGTTCCCCAAACAAAACCTTGTAGTTATGCCTTCTTGTTTCTGCCAGTTTGGTCTTGGTGAATGGAGGGAGGTCTGTTTTCTCTGGCAGCTCACTTTCATCAGGGGCTACTGGTCCATCCATCCATTCAGAAACACTTGTTGGGCCCTGTTCCAGGGGCTGAGAACACAGCACTGAGCCCAACACAGTGGAAACCCCACTCTCTCTCCTGGAGCTTACACCTGTTGGAGGTGTTCTTTGCTTTCTTCCCTCATGTGTTGGGAGTTCCTTTGGAGCTTTTCTTTTGCCTATCCTTGGTTCTGTATGGTTGGAGGGTAGATCCTCATGCAGCAGCAAACCACTGGTTGTCAGGGGCCTGCAGACTGCATCTATGGCCAGCATTGCATTAACCAGAATGCTGCTGTCCCTCAGTCACTCCAGAGTCAGGAAGATCCGTTGGTACTGAGATGTATGAAAACACACACACACCCCACCCCTTTACTCCCCATGTCCCAAGCCTCCTTATTGTTCCTCTCTCTCTCACCCAGCTTAAAGGAGACAATGTCCTACATCTGTCCTCCTTGGAGATCCTGACAGTCTGTGGACATATGGACAGTCCTAGGCCCCTCCCATGTGCTGGACCTGGCAACCATTTAGTTTGGAAGAGGTTGGTGATGGGAAGTTGTGTGGGAGGGAACATTAAAAATGTCCTCAGGCTGCCATCTTTACCCTCCAGTGCTTTTCAAGACAGGTTTGGCCAGGCACGGTTATACACACCTGTAATCTCAGCACTTTGGGAGGGAAGTGGGAGGATCACTTGAGCCCAGAAGTTCAAGACCAGTCTGGACAACAGTGAGACGCGCCACCCCCCACCCCCCCCCCCGCCAACCATCTCTAAAAAAATTTAAAAATTAGCCAGACGTGGTGGTGCACACCTATAGTTACCAGGTACTTGGGAAGATCGCTTGAGCCCAGAAGGTCAAGGCTGCAGTGAGCCGTCATGCACTCCAGCCTGGGCAACAGAGTGAGACCATGTCTCAAAACAAACAAAAAACGGCTTTAACAGGCCCTGGGCCTACTTTCAGCAGATCTTCCTAGAGTTCACTCAGTAGGGTGAGTGTTGGGACTGAGATCCACAGGTTGGCTGTGAGACTGAGCTGATCCCATTAGTATTCTGGAGCTAGACTTTGGGAGTTCCAAATAAGAGGAGGTCCACCAAATAGTTTCTTAGTTTCCTCCAGCACACACACACACACACACACACACACNAAAAAAAAAAAAAAAGAGTCCCAGAATGTTTATACCTTTTGATTGAGTTGCTTTCCTTTTTTAGTTTTTTCTTGAGACAGAGTTCTCACTCTGTCACCCAGGCTGGAGCGCAGTGGCGTGATCTCGGCTCACTGCGGCATCTACCTCCCGGGTTCAAGGGATTCTCCTGCCTCAACCTCCCGAGTAGCTGGGATTACAGGCGCCCACCACCACACTCAGCTAATTTTTTGTATTTTTAGTAGATACGGGGTTTCCCCATGTTGGCCAGGCTGGTCTTGAACTCCTGACCTCAGATGATCCTCCCGCGTCCCTGTCCCAAATTTCTGGGATTACAGGTATGAGCCACTGCACCCGACTTAGGTTGCTTTTCTTCTAGGACTTAAACCTAAAGGCTTCGTTAGAAATTTGCAGGAATGTCACTAAAAAGGAGTGAACTATTGACCCATGCCATAATTTGGATGAATTTCATACATTAAATGAAAGAAGTCAGACTGAAAAGGCTGTACACTGTAGGATTCAATTTGTATGACATTCTGGTCAAAGCAAAACTTTATTTTTATTACTATTATTTTTTCGAGATGGAGTCTCACTGTGTCTCCCAGACTGAAATGCAGCGGCTTAATCTTGGCTCACTGCAACTTCCACCTCCTGGGTTCAAGCTGTTCTCCTGCCTCAGCCTCCTGAGTAGATGGGATTACAGGCGCCCGCCACCACACCCAGCTAATTTCGTATTTTTAGTAAAGATGGGGTTTCTCCATGTTGATCAGGCTGGTCTTGAACTCCTGACCTCAGGTGATCCGCCCACCTCAACCTCCCAAAGTGCTGGGATTACAGGTGTGAGCCACCAAGCCCTGCCTATCACAAATATTAAGAAAAAAAAAAATTAGAAAAACGAAACACCACAAGGGAACCGTGGTCTGTGGTGATGGTGTCGGGGCATTTGTGCCACACCCATCAAATGGTAACATTAACTAGTGCAGTTCTTGGTTATACCTCAATCAGTTATACACCGATTATACCTCAATAATGTGGGTTAACAAATAAATCTAACTCGGCCCTGGGCAGTTGCTCATGCCTGTAATCTTAGCACTTTGGGAGGCCGAGGTGGGTGGATTCGGTGAGCTCAGGTGTTCGACACCAGCTTGGGCCACACAGTGAAACCCCGTCTCTACTAAAATACAAAAAATTAGCCGGGCACAGCGGCACACTGCTGTAATCCCAGCTACTCAGAAGGCCGAGGAGGGAGCATTGCTAGAACCTAGAAGGCAGAGGTTGCAGTGAACCGAGATTGTGCCACGGCACCCCAGCCTGGGCAGCAGAGCGAGACTCCATCTCAACTCACTCACTCACTCAAATGGCTTCAGCAACAGAAGTGTGGTAGGGAGGGGGGAGTGCAGGGGTTGGGGCTGCGAGGCCTCCAGGCCCGGGGCCCCTGGTCTCCTGACACCCACCTGCCTGGGCTCAGTAGGGGCCTGTGTTTCACGACCCCTCCTGGTGACAGGCGACATAGCAGCTCCCCCACTGCAGGCTTCCCCCCCCCCCC